GATTTCTGTGACCCAATCACTCTCTCTTTCTCTCTTTCTCTCTTTCTTGAAACCGTGAAATGTCGGGTCCTCAAGTTGCAGTTGCTTATTCGAGCTGACTGCACTCACTAAAGTCGTCTTCGCTTCATTCCCGTAACTGTATCGCCCTCTTCTTCCTCGCGATCCCTTCTCTCGTTTACGATAGATCCTTGATCCAAGCGTCTCCTTTTTGCTTGTCTTCTTGCATCACTGTTGTCAAGGCAATAGACGAAGTTATCGCTGACTCTGCCTTCTTCCAATCTCCTGTTCATCACATTTTCCCCCAAGCATGTTGCCTTGCAATTGATCTTGTGTCCATTCTCTGTGACGTCTTCCGCTTTATCTGATCTTTCAGCATCCATTTGCTGTGGCTCTTTGAGGTTGTTTGATTCGTGGTCGCTTGAATATTCCATTTTGTTAATATTGGCCCTAGTTTTGAGCTTGTTCACAGAAAAGGAGACATATCCACTTTTGTGAGTAGTTCTCCATCTTTATCTTTCTTTCATAATCTTCACGGCCAGTATGTTTCTTTGAATTACTCTTCTCGGATATCCATTTCCTGGGAATATCCCATTCAGTTTTTCAGATTCTTCATGCCGCAATTCCACGTCCGTTAATCGTAGGCTTCTCATAATCATGCCTCTCGGTAGGCCTATCTTCATTCTGTAGTTGTGATGACATTCGCAATAGACCATTATTTCGGCATATGACCTCTTTCGGAACCATTTCCTCTTGCCTGTCGCAGAAGAGCGAGTAACCTCCACGTCTGGGAAGGCCAAATGCATTCATTGCGGATTTGATTTTTCCATCAACCCCGTCCATAAAATTCAGGAGATCCTCCAACTTTCTCTTCTCTGCGACCATATTGCAAAGTAGTCATCCAAGTACCGCATACGAACTCTTGGTTGCCGCGGCGACACCTTGAAATTCTCTTCTCATTTGCCCAATTATACATTTGTCAATTGAGCTGACAGACGCGATCCCATGGGAAGTTCTAATGTCTGTTCATAAATGTTGCCATTGAATGTGAAGTGGGTAGTACTTTTAGTCGAGTTGATCTGATACTTTCTGCCTTTAGAATATCCTCTTCTCGATACGAAATGTCTAACAGGGCCGACAGCGCCTTTTCTCCAGAAATATTTTTTGGTACATAAATTGTACTCACTTTCGAATCTCATCACAACTACAGAATGAAGACAGGCCTACTGAGAAGCATGATTATCAGAAGTCTACGATTAACGGACGTGGAATTGGGGCATGAAGAATTGGGAAAAGTGACTGGGGTAAGCTTCAGCAATGGATGTCCTCAGGATTGTTCAGTAGTTTACTGCTTAGAATGCGGCGTCTGCGAACAGAAATACGTTGGCGAGACTGAGAGAAAAATCGGCATACGAATCAAAGAACATCAAAAGAATTCACAGCAATTGGATACTGAAAGATCAGATAACAATAAATTCAATCATAAGAAAGGATACACAAACAAGGCGAGCCCCTAAAGGCTTATAGTCAACAACAAGTACGGAGCAACACACAGATTAGTAGAGTTTATGTTCGAAACTCAAGAAATTAAATGAGAGGCTATCAAACACGGTGAAACATTCATGTGAATTTTCTCAAAAAATCAAAGGTATGGCACAGGAAGAAACGGACTTATTGGTAAGTTTTGATGTTGAATCCAAGTTTACAAACATCTCTGGAGAAAATGCGCTAACGGCCCTGCTGGAAATGCTGGACCGAGAGGATGATATGCTGGAATCACAACGGATCAGGAGGGAGTCGTTAACAAGACTAATCAACTTGACAATGAGGACAACATATTTCACATTCAACGGGAACATTTATGAGCAAATATTTGGACTTGCCATGGGATCGCCGTATCTCAACACGTTTGGCAAACGTAGACATGAACAAAATAGAAGAGCACTTCAAGATGGCACCGCGACAACCGGCAGTGCTCATGCGGTACCTGGATGGTTATTTCGCATGGAAGAGAAGAAAACTGGAAGAGTTTCTGCATTTTATGCACAGAATGGGACGCTCAAGAAGAAATTGATGCAAAAGAAGTCTTATGCTTGGATGATACTCAATTTCCAGTCCCATCACAATTACGGGCTAAAGATGGGAATAATGAGGATCATGATCATCCGAAGCCCACGTTTAACGGATATGGAATTGTGGGACGAGGAGCTGGACAACTTGACGAGGATATTCCTCGTACAAAGAAACAAACGGACCGTGAAAAGCCAATGGTAGAACGGGGAGTATGAAAGGACAGTGAGGACGATGAAGAATCCACAAAAGTGGATATGCCTACCTTCCTGCGAACTAACTCAGAAACTACGGCCAATATTGAGCAAATGGAATATTCAGGTGGTCATGAAAGAGAAATCAACACTTTTACAAGTCTACCAACGCAATATGAAAAAGTAGACAAATATGATTGTTCAGGAGTTTACTTACTATCGTCCGGCGTGTGTAAACAGAAATGTATTGGCGAAACAGCGAGAAAAATTGGCATACGTATCAAGGAACTTCAAAGGCTCTGCAGGAAAATGGATTCTGGAAGATCAGAACTAGCGGGACACATCGCACAGACTGGACACAAGATCAATTGGAAGGCAACAGAAAGAAGAGCTACATACGGTGACAACACAAGGTAGCGGAAGAAAAGGGATACAATCGACGTCGTTGGGGAGAAAAAATCTAATGAACAGGAGATTGGAGGAAGGTAGAGTTTGCGATGAATTTGTCTACTGTCTAAGCAAAATCGGGGAAAACAAGAGTAGAGCAAGACGAGCAAAAAGGAGACGCCTGGATCAAGGATCTGCCGCTAACCGGAGGAAAAGGGATCGCGATGAGAAAAGTGGGGTTGCAGGGTTTCGGCAATCAAGCGAAAATGTTGTCAGTGAGTGATGTCCATTTTGAACAGACCAGTACAACTTTGGGGGTCTGGCAGTCAGGGAGATGGGCAGAGGGATAAGCAAATCGTCACGGAACTTCGGCGTTATGGTCAAAATGTACTAGAAATCCACTCGGGATTCCGCATGCGACCAGAAATAGGCGTCCACAGTTTGCTCAGATAACATGCGTTCAATCAAGGAGACGACCCGTGTTGGGAAGGCCTGATATCTGCAAGCATGGCAACCACAGTCTAGGCACTCTGCTCAGTGAAGCGGCAGTGTACGTGCTTCTAGGACCTTGAGAAATAGCGCCGGGAGTGAAATGCAAACTGGGACTGGAACCGAGGGAAATCGGTTAACCAGAAAGAGAAGGAACGGATCTACGAGACAATGAGGGGATCAGGATTGGAGGCCTCACTCGGATCAGCCGACCGAAAGAGAGGGGTTCGAGGTGAATAGCAAGTGTGATGAGCACACACTTGGTTTGCCACAAAAGGGCACACATTTTGACGCGTGGAATGTAAACAAGTGAACATTTGTGATAGGGCGGCAGTGGGAGAAGAGGGTAAAGAGTGTATAGATAGGCCGGGTCAAAAAGAGGAGTGATAGTGTAATCGTTTTCAGCAGAACGGTTGTCGAGGCATTGACTTCACTCGTCTCTCTGACGATTCGTAGATTGGGGCGGCGAATGGCAGCGCCGACTACGATGCCGGCGAATCGTTTGAGAATGTACCCAGTCCACTGTCTGATTCTGGGAGTCATGACAACTACTATGGCATACGACTTCGGACTAAGTGCGTTCTACTAAGTCGCCCTGACAACAATACCAAGTTGCGACAACGAGATCAAACCACTTCTATGGTAATCAGAGGATGAGGCGACTTTGTACATGCTATTGAAGGATTGATAAATAATATTTGGAGTAAAATTAGGCTGAGCTGGTGCTGGAACCGAGTGAAATCGGTCAACCGGAACGCGAAGAATCGGTCCCAGGGGCCCATGAGGCAGATCCGGACGGGAGGCTCGAATCAGATCAGACATTCGACGCCAAAGCAAATTCGCCAAAAGGGCACATCTCTTGTGGAATACAAACATGTGAGAAGTTGTGATAGAGCGAGAGCGAGACTGGAGCGTAGGAAATGGATAGCGGGACCGCGACAAAACGAGCCGTGATGGCATAAAGGTCTCGACAGGAAGTTGGTCAAGGAATTGACTTCGCTTGTCCCGTTGACGAGTCGTCGCTTGGTTGCTGAGGCTGGCAAGACGCACTGACGATGCCGGCGAAATGTGTGTGAATGTAACAAGTCCACGGTCCGATTCTGGATACCATCATGCATACAATGGACCCCGAACAAGGAGCTTTCCTCTCGGTCTTTCTGCCAATATGAACAAGTTGCGAAAC